TGCGCCGCTGGGCCGGGGCGGGCCGCTGGCGCGTCCTTCAGCCTCCTCTCCGCCAGCGCGGCCCGCTCCCTGTGCGCCGCGTGGCTTGCCGCGACGCCCGCCACTTACAAATCGACTAGGAGGCTCTCTATCCGCCCGCGGACCAATTTCCCATGACCACAGGAGGCAACGGATACGGACATCTGTGAGCCCCATGGGGCCCGAGTATGTCCATGTCCACCAGCTTTCGAGGTTCTGGGAAGTCGAATCTGTATCAATCCAGGCCTGAGACTCCCCCGCGACCACCTCCCATCCCCTGCCCCCCTCCCGCGCAGAGTCCCCACCCCGCCCTACACGTCCCCCCCTCCCCCGTCACCACCTCTGCACGCAAAGCACGCTGGACCCCGCCAGGACTTCGTGGGCACCCCAGGGAAGAGAGACGATTTTGCAGGGAGAAGGAAAGATGAACAAGAAAGGAAATACTTGACCCACATGTGCACTGTCCCCACACGCGCGCGGGAGCCTAACAGTCTCGGCGTCGGCGCTGCTCGCAGGGGCGAAAGCAGGGTGCAACAGGGGCTGCCCCCCCCCCGGGAGGCCCCGGATCTGGCCGACACCTGCACCCCCCCCCCCCCCGAAGCGCCAACCGCAGCATACGCTCCTCGAGTGAAACATCGACTACAGGATCGATGTACCCCAGGAGTGTTTTTTTCATCGCCTCTATAAAAAGTCGGTGGAATCTCCCTCCTCCTCCTCCTCCATCCTCCACCTCCTCCTCCTCCTCCTCCTCCCTCCTCTCCCTCCCTCCTCCTCTCCTCCTCCTCCTCCTCCTCCTCCCCCTCCTCCTCCTTCTCCCCTCCTCCTCCTCCTTCCTCCTCCTCCTCCTCCCCTCCACCTCCAACTCCACCTCCACCTCCACATCCACCTCACCTCCACCTCCACCTCCACCTCCACCTCCTCCTCCTCCTCCTCCTCCTCTCTCCTCCTCCTCCTTCCTCCTCCTCCTCCTCCTCCTTGTTTTCTTCTTATCAGTATTATTATGCGTATTATGATTATTATTCGCATTCGTATTCTCATTAGTAATGTTATTATGATTATTGGTCTTATATTCTTTTTAATATATCATTATTCGGTGTATTCTTATGACTATTGTCAGCCAAACAGTAGTATCGCTATTAGTATTACTCTGAATATGTTGTTAGCTCCACCAGCGGTGGGTCCCCAAAACTGGGACTTCGACTCCGGAACTGAACAAGATCAATCCCCACCTTCAATAGTGGAGTTCCCCAACTCCTATTGAAAAAACAAAAGTGGAGTTGTCGCTCTCCAGATTGACATATTGACCTTTCCCAATCGTGGGGTTCAATATTGAGGTCTTGGTCCACTATCGGGGTTCCAACCCCGATATTGGGGTTTCCGAAACCCAATATTGGGGTTTTTTAGTTTCGGGGTTGGGAAATCCAATATTGGACTTTCGATTGGCCTGCGAAAATGGAGGTTAGAGGCATAGTTCCTCCTCCTCCTCCTCCTCCTCCTCCTCCTCCTCCAACTCCTCCTCCTCTAATACAGGCTGAGCCGGCGTGGCAGCGGAAGCGGAACCGCAAAGAGAACGAGAGGCTGCAGGAGGAGAGCGCGCGGGGAAGTATGAGAGAGGACTTTAATGTCCCGCCCGCCCGACACGACCGGTCCACAAAGGCAAGATCGGTCTACCTCGCCAGCTGCGCCCGACTTGAAAGTCCCGCCCGCCCGACCCGGCGCTCGCCCGACCCGAGCGGCGGCCCGCTAGGGCAAGCGCGTGCTACTTAGAGAGCTGCGTCAACCTTTAAGGTCCCGCCCGCACGACCCGACCGGCCCGCTAGAGCAAGCGCACGCTACCTTGAGAGCTGCGTCGTGCTTTAATGTCCCGCCCGCCCGACCCGACGGGTCCGCCAGGGCAAGCGCGTGCCACCTCGAGAGCTGCGTCAACCTTGAAGGTCCCGCCCGCACGACCCGACCGGCCCGCTAGAGCAAGCGCCTGCTACCGCGAGAGCTGCGTCGTGCTTTAATGTCCCGCCCGCCCGACCCGACGGGTCCGCCAGGGCAAGCGCGTGCTACCTCGAGAGCTGCGTCAACCTTGAAGGTCCCGCCCGCCCGACCCGACCAGCCCGCTAGAGCAAGCGCCTGCTACCGCGAGAGCTGCGTCGTGCTTTAATGTCCCGCCCGCGGGGCTCCGCCTCGCCCAAAACAGTCACCCACGGGTCTTGGTGACTGGTCTGGGCGGGCGGGCCCAAAACAGTCACCAAACGCCTCGGGGGACTGATTAGGGTGGGGCGTGCTTTTCATGCTACGGCCTCCTCCTCCTCCTCCCCCACCTCCTCCCTCCCCCACTCTGCCCGTTGTCTCTCCCCTAGGAAGTGCGAGCTTTTCCCTTTTCTCCTCTGGCCCAGCCTACGGCCTCGTAAATTCAATCTTGGAGTTCAAACCCCAATATTGGGTTTGAAACCTAATATTGATCTAAAACTCAATATTGCTATTCAAATTTCAATATTTCAATTTTTAATTCTGGAGTCCAGAGTTGAACCTTTTCAATATTTAAATTTGAGGCTTCCAACTCCAATACTGAACTGGCGGCGGCCGAATACAATTCCAAGGTTTTGAACTCAAATATTGAGGTCGCCGATTGAATGTTTCAATTTTCAATCGGCCGGGGACCCACCCAGGGATTGGTTACCTTATTCCTATTATTCGTATTATTAGTAGTATGTCTTTTCTTACTGTGAGTATCATTCGTATTAGTATTAGTAGTAATAAAATTCGTAATATGATCAATAATAATGTTATCATTTTCATTATTATTAATAATAATAATATTATCATTCGTAATACTATTGTTATGATTATGTTATTATTATAATAATAATAATAATACTTATTATTATTATTATTATTATTATTAGTATTATTATTATTATTATTATTAATAATAATATTATCATTATGAGTATGATTATGATTCGTGCTGGGTCTGGAGCTGGAGCTGGAGCTGGAGCTTGGGCTGGAGCTGGGGCTCGCGCCAGTGCTGGGGCTCGACCTGGATTTGGAGCTGGGACTCGAGCAGGGGCTGGAGCTGGGGCTGGAGCGAAGCTGGATCTGGACCTGGATCTGGAGCTGAGGCTGGAGCTGGGACTGTCTGGAGCTGGCGCTGGGGCGAAGCTGAAAGCGGGAGCTGGAGCTGGCCCGGAGCTAAAGCTGCAGCTGCAGCTAGGTCTGAAGCTGTGGATGGAGCTAGGGCTCAGCCCAGCCTGGAGCTGAACATAGGGCTGGAGCTCGAGCTGGGGGAAGGAGCTCGGTTAGAGCAGGGGCTGGATGTGGCGCTGGGACTGGAGCGAAGCTGGAGCTGGGGCTGGAGCTGAGGCTGGAGCTAAGCCTGAAGCGTGGGCTTGCCCTGGAGCTGAATCTGAGCTGGACCTAAAACTGAAGCTCGAGCTGGGTACGAACTCGGCTGGAACTGGAGTTTGAGTTGGGGCTCGAGCTGGGGCTGGAGCTGGAGCTCGACCTGGATTTGAAGCGGGGGATCCAACTGGGGCTGGAGCCGTGGCTGCAGCGAAGCTGGAGCTGGAGCTGGATCAGGAGCTGAAGCTGGAGCTGGGACTGGAGCTGGGGTTAGGGCGAAGCTGAAGCGGGAGCTGGGGCTGCAGCTGGGTCTTGAGCTGTGGCTGGAGCTGGAGTTGAGCCCAGGCTGAAGCTGAACCTGGAGCTGGAGCTGGAGCTGGGGCTGGAGCTGGGGCTGAAGCTGGAGCTGGACGTGGAGCTGGGACTGGAGCTGGGCTGGAGCGAAGCTGGAGCCGGGGCTGGGGCTGGAGCTGGAGCTGGAGCTAGAGCTGGTCCTGGAGCTGAGCTGGAGCTCGAACCGGGCTGATGCCCGGGCTGGAGCGAAGCTGGAGTCTGGGGATATGTTCCTTTCACGACGTGGATCCCTGGACCTCTCGCCCCATGCCTGGGACCAGTGTTTTGTCGGTCGGTCGTGTTCCGATGTCAGGGGGAACGAAAGGGGAGGATAGCAAAGGGGAGGATATAGAGAATCAGCTCACGTAGCTGATTTTCCCAGCGCCTCCCGGCGCCAGGAGGCGCCCATGTATCGAGGAATGGGCCCGGCGGCGGGGCCGAAACCAGCTGCATGCAGCAGATGTCGTACCCCCCCCCTTTCCCTCTCCCCCCCTCTCGCTCGGCCCGATGATGGTCCAGGGGCTTGCCTCGGACCCCCTGGGGGCCCGGAGTTGGTCCGCCGTCACGTCTCGTTCACGACGGCGGCGGTCTGTCCGGGCCCTCGGCTCTCTCCCCTGTGGGGGATACATGCCCTGTGCGCGACGGGCCGATGCTTCCTTCTGTGCAGGAGGCCCAGCGCTGGTCGCTCAGGTTCCCGGGATAGCTGGGGGAGTCCCAGCGCGTGCCCCGGGTCCCCTGGTCAATCTCTGCTGGTATGTCTCATTATCAGGGGTAGGTAGTCTGCTCTGTGTTGTGTTACCATGTGTTTTTGTATGCTGGGAATCGGAATGCGAACGCGAATGCGGGTGCGCACGCTGTCATAAGATTCAAGCGGTACCGTTGGCATTACAATGTGCACCGACATGCGAATTACGTTATAGTGAATGCTTGTATGATCAATCGATCCTGCTATAATGTGGAGTCACGTGTATGTGCTACGCTACGCTACCACATGCGAATTATCAACATCATCGCTTGTGAATGGTTTGGCTGAGGACCTGCATTCCCCTGTGAAACTTGTGTGTTGACGCTTCATGGTGCAATATACAGCTGTAACGGTGAGTAGCTTCCATAGCTGCTTACTTAGAATAAAACGTACGGCTGGCTTGCTATGGTGAGGCTTCGTCGAGCTACGATGTGCTGCGGCATGCAAGGGCATACTAAGCATGCGAATGATGCGCTGTGCTATGACTGCTATGGTGTGTGCTAGTCTACGCCATGCCATGCCATCATCTGCTATGCGATCAACAAGCAGATCCGCCCACACCGACTTCATTTTCGAGGTCGCAGCCATCCTCGCTCGCCGACCGAAAAGGGGCGCCCGCCCCGGTCCTTACGTACAGAGCGCGCAGCCCAGGGCCGGGAAACATTTTGCCTCTCCGCCTCTGCGGCGGACGCGCCGCGCGAGCCAACTCAGCCCGGCGGAACCACCTCCTGGACACGGACCAGCTGCCTCTTCGGCACCGGGAGCCTCGGCCCCTCGCAGGCACCGCCGGCCTCGCCCTCCTCGTCGCCGATGCGGCCCATCTCGTGGGCCAGCCTGTCCACCCTGTCGCGCAGGTGCCCCAGCCGTCGGATCAGCCGGTCGTCCGGCGGCCCAGCTGCGACGGCCTCGCCCGGCGGTGCAGGAAGCGCTGCCGCGAGCTGGGCGCCGGGCGGCGCTGGCGCCGCTGCGGCGTCCAGGCTGCCCGCGCGCGGGGGGGCCGGCGGCGCAGCCCCGGGGCCAGGCCGCAGAGCCTGCTGCGCGGGCGCCGCGTCCAGGGGCGCCCCGCCGCCCAGCACCAGGGAGACCTGCTGCCAGCGGGCTGGGCCGTGGCTGCGCTCCTCGCCGCTCCCGCTGCTGACCAGCAGCAGGAGCGCGGCGAAGAGGCCCGAGGCGTCCACCAGGCCAGCCTGCGCCGGCGCCCGCCTGCACGCCTCGCCGATCCTGCACAGCGAGGAGCGCAGCCCGCGCAGGGATTCGGCGATGATGCGCTGGACGCCTGCCTCGATGCACTCGGACTTGAGAGCGTCCCAGTCGCCGCCATTGTGAAAGGTGTCCATGAGGCGGTCGTGGAGCGGGGTCACCGTAGTCCAGTACATGTCCCACCTGTGCTTCAAACTCCGTGTCTCCGTGAGCACCGCGTCATCCGCCCCGTCCACCTCCGCGAGCGACGGCAGCAGCTCCGCGACGACCTGAAGAGCGGTGAGCCCCAGCGAGTGCAGGTCTAGCTGGGTCTTGTACTCGAAGCCCAGGGACTGCGACTCCTCCAGCTCCGTCCAGCCGTACAGAAACTGCACCCAGGCGGAGACGGGCCAGTAGCGGCAGTCACCGCCGACGTCCAGGTGGTGCCAGGAAGACGCTCCGTCTTGCCCCACTCGCGACGGCCGTGGGTCTGAGGAGCTCGAGGACTCGCCGAACTGCCAGCAGGCGACGTCCACCGCGAGGCCAAAGTCCACCAGGCCATAGCGGGGCGTGCCACCGCCGATGGACGCATCCACGAGGATGTTATGGGCGTTCACGTCGCGGTGGTAGGCGAGCTCCGAGATGTGCTCGAAGGCGGGGGCCAGCTGAACCAGCAGCTGCCTGGCGAAGAAGCTGGCCTCCTGCAGGCCGGCCCGGGGCCCACCCTGCGAAGCCCGGCGCTCCAGGAAGCTGTCCAGCGGGTCCCCCGCGATCCGGGTCATCGCGAGACGCACGCGCCAGACCTGGGGCCCCAGCGACCTCGTCTCGCAGGCGACCAGCGAGGGCAGCACCGCCCTGGAGGCCACCAGCGGAGAGGGCGCGTCCTCCTGGGCCCGGCCAGGGTCACCGAGCGTGCGGAGCAGGTGCCCCTCGAACAGCGCGTTGAGGAGGTCCGCCTGCGAAGAGCAGATGATCTCCTTGATGGCCAGCAGCGGCGTCCCGGGCGGGCCGGGCTGCTCCGCCGCCCAGACCGCCCCGAAGCTGCCCATGCCCAGCGGGCTCCGCACCAGGACCGTGTTGTCACCGATCTGCACCCAGGCGCCCTCCTGAAGATCCGCCGTCGGTGGCAGCAGCGGAGTCCCCAGCGGCCGAGTGGGAGTGGCCTTCTCGGACACGGCGGCGGCCGAGGGCACTCCGGCGGGCGGCGCTGGAGGATTGGCGCGGGCGCCCGCGTAGTGGTTGGCTGGCTGGGCGGGCTGGACCTGCCCAGCTGCCGCAAGCTCAGGCATGGAGCTGAGGCTCGGCGCGGCAGACAACTGCGGCGCCGCCACGACCCGCGGAGGCCCGTGCTCCACGGGGACGTGCACCGCAATGCGACCAGGGCTGACGCTGCGGGCATTCGCGCCAGACGGCTGCCTGACCGCCATGGGCGTCAGGACCCTCTGCGAGGCCGAACCCAGTGCCACCTCACCTGGGCCGAAGCTGCCCTCCCGGCTCAGCGGCATCTGGGATCCGCGGCGCGGCTCGACCACGCGGAAGGCAGTAATCGGGGACAACGGCACGTTGACAGGCAGCCACGGTGCCGAGGCGCGATCAGGGCTCACGCGCCCGTCGATGAGCAGGCCGCTTCCCACTCCCCCCTGCACTGGTGCGGCCGCCCGCGCCAGCCCTAGCGGCGCGGGGTCCCGTGCGCCAAGGCCGACCGCCTCGGCGGCCGTGGACCGGAACGCCACCATGGGGGAGAGCCTCACCGACGCGTCGGCCTCCCTGCAGTCGGGCGTCAGCGAGCGCCCCCTGGCCCTGGCCGCCACCGGCCTGGCGGCGACCGGCACGGCACTCCTCCGGTAGGCGTTCACGTGCCCACCGTCTGGAACCGCGCCCTGCCCCCGCGC